GTATTTATTTTATTGAGACCAGGATCTTTCACTGTGTGCACGGCCAGCGGGGCTGGAGGTGCAGTGGTGGATCTCGGGCTTATTGCAGTGGCTGCCTTTCCCGAGCTTCAAGGGGGCAATCCTGCCCACCCTCAGCGCTCCCAGGTTTGCTAGGGTAGGACTATAGCATGTACTGACCCACACCGCAGCTAATTTTGTTATTTTTTGGGTGGGAAGATGAGGGGTTTCACATGTTGTCCCAGGCAGGAGGGTGTTCAAGACTCCTGAGCTCAGGAGGCGCGATCTAGCGCCACCTTGGCCTCTGGTCAAAGTTCTGGGATTACAAAGGCGTGGAGCCACCACAGCCGGCCTTAATTTTTTATTTTGAGACCAGGATTCTTGCTCGTGTCACCAGCGAGGGATTGAGTGCAAGTGGTCTCGCTATCATCCAGGGCTCACTGGGCAGCCCTGGAGCCTCTAAAGCTCAAGCGGATCCTCCTCCCTTGTGCTTGCCAGAGTGTGTCTGGATTAGGAGGTGTGAGCCGACTGCTGAGGTCCCAATTTTTAGAGTTTGCTGTAATTCCAGGTGTGAGAATGGTGCCACTCTGTTTTTCTGTTTATGAGATGTTTTAAGAATTATAGGGTTTTAGTTGGAGGGGTGATAATTTACATAGCCATGATGATTCAGCCCCTTTAAAGGCGTGAGAGGTCGAGGTGGTTTTTTCAAGCATGTTTCAGTGAGTTGGGACAGAAAGGGCAGAGCAGCTGGGTTCGGTAGGTTGTGTCGGAACATTGTGTCGGTGTTCACCCGGGCAACGGGCAGCCTGGCGATAACCCCATTACACGGTGACGCGTCCCATTTCCACGACTCTCTCGAGTAGCGTGGTGAACCAGTGTTAGATACTACATGTTTCTTTTTGTGATGTATTGATAAAGATGAGTATTCCACCTGTCCCTTTAGATTGTGTGTAATGGCGAGGTGGCGGGCGCCTGTAGTCCCAGCTACTTGGGAGGCTGAGGCAGGAGAATGGCATAAACCCAGGAGGCGGAGGTTGCAGTGAGCTGAGATCCAGCCACTGCACTCCAGCCTGGGCGACAGAGCGAGACTCCGTCTCAACAAAAAAAATAAATTAATTAAAAAAATAAGTGTAGAACCAGAGCTCAAAAAGATGAAAACCACAGTACTGGTTGTAAAGACAAAGATGATTTGCCTCCTGATCAAGGACCTCCTTGATCTCCAAGGGTTATGCTTTACAAACTGAGAAAATACAGTATTTCAAATAATCTTTTCAGTTATGTCACTGGGTACAGATTTTCTCTGCAGCATTTGGAGACCTGGAACCTCCGAGTTGACAGTAAGGAAATTATGAAATGGATATATTAGAAAGACAGATTTTGTGGTGGTTTATAAAAGGATAGGAGTCATGGAGAGCATATAGGATCCTCAGATGGACTATGATCCTGTTCCATTTGTTATCTGTGCCTAACACAGTCCTGCTCACTTATTTCCTTTTTTTTTTTTTTTTTTTTTTTTGAGACAGAGTCTCGCTCTGTCGCCCAGGCTGGAGTGCAATGGCCAGATCTCAGCTCACTGCAGCCCTGACCTCCTAGGCTCAAGCGATCCTCCTCCCTTTGCTTCCCAAAGTGTTGGGATTAGAGGTGTGAGCCACTGCTGAGGTCCCAAATTTAGATTGCTGTAATTCCCAGTTGGAATAGCTCACTCTGTTTTTTCTTTTTATAAATCTTTTTAAAATTATAGCTTTATTGAGGTATAATTTACATACCATGAGATTCACCCCTTTAAAGCGTAGAGGTCAGTGGTTTTTTCACATATTCAGATAGTTGTACAAACAGCAACACTGTCTAATTTCAGAACATTTTCTTCACCCAGCAAGCAACCTCATACCCATTAACAGTTACTCCCCATTCCCCACTCCTCTCAGTACGTGGTAACCATTAATCTAATTTCTATTTCTATGGATTTGTATATCCTGCATAGTTTGTGTAAATGGAATCATATAATATGGCACTGACTTCTTTCACTTACCATCATGTTTTCAAGGTTCAATCATGCTCTAGCGTGTATCAGTACAGCATTCTTTTTACCATTGAGTACTATTCCATTGTATGGATATATCACATTTTGTTTAATTATTCATCAGTTGCTGGACCATACTGGACTTTATTTATTTGTTTATTTATTGGAGACAGAATCTCACTCTGTCAGTTGCTGAACTACACTGGATTTTATTTATTTATTTGTTTAGAGACAGAATCTCACTCTGTCGCCCAGGTTGGAATGCAGTGGTGTGATCTCAGCTCAATGTAACATCCACCTCTTGGGCTCAAGCAATTCTCAGCCTCCCAAGTAGCTGGGACTACAGGCACGCACCAACAAGCCTGGCTAATTTTTGTATTTTTAGTAGAGATGGGGTTTCTACTAAAACCCCTGTTGGCCAGGCTGGTCTGAAACTCCTGGCCTAATATGATCCACCACCTCAGCCTCCCAAAGTGCTGGGATTATAGGCCTGAGCCACCATGCCCAGCCACTGGATTTTAATTCTTTATCTTCTTTTTTTTTTTTGAGACAGAGTCTCACTGTGTCACCCAGGCTGGAGTACAGTGGCATGATGCAGTGGCATGATCTTGGCCCACTGCAACCTCCACCTCCCGGGTTCAAGCAGTGCTTCTGCTGCAGCCTCCCGAGTAGTTGGCACTACAGGCGCACGCCACCACACCCGGCTAATTTTTTGTATTTTAATAGAGACAGGGTTTCACTATGTTGCCCAGGCTGGTTGCAAACTCCTGAGCTCAAGCAGTCTGCCTTCCTAGGCCTCCCAAAGTGCTGGGATTACAGGCATGAGCCACTATGCCCAGCTTAATGCTTTATCTTCTTAAAACTTCTGACAAACCCTTGCTATTACTCTCTGTACTTTACCATAGGAAATAGAAACTCCCTGATTCAGAAGTTCCCTCTCATACTTCCAGTATTATCTTTCTATTCCTGCTAAAACAGATCCCCTTAGGTTGAACTTCTCTTAATATTCTCTTTAAGTAGCATATCTTTTCCCTCGTTAGGCAATATATTCTGCCTATCCAAAGCCATTTGTTCTTTGAGTTCAAGATCTATCTAATCCATGAGACCAGATATATTTATTTATTTATATTTATTTATTCCTTTCCTGACAGCAAATATCATTTATATCATCTACACTGTAAAAACTCGGATTTAATAATATGCCATCTGATGGTTTTACCCTTTCTTAGTTGCCAAAAGATTGTCTTGTTTCTATTCAAGCTCTGTTTATTATGGTATTTCTATATATTTTATCTGTGTGGCAGAGCATATAGAAAGCAATCAGAACATACTTGATTGATCGGTAAGAAATCTGGCTAGCAAGAGAACTTTTCTCATTTATTTGGGTACAGATTTTCCTCTGCAGCATTTGGAGACCTGGAACCTCCGAGTTGACAGTAAGGGAAATTATGAAATGGATATATTGAGAAGACAGATTTTGTGGTGGTTTTATAAAGGTAGGAGTCATGGAGAGCATATAGGATCCTCAGATGGACTATGATCCTGTTCCATTTGTTATCTGTGCCTAAAACAGTCCTGCTCACTTATTTCCTTATTTTCTTTTTTTTTTTTTTTTTTTGAGACAGAGTCTCGCTCTGTCGCCCAGGCTGGAGGTGCAATGGCCGGATCCTCAGCTCACTGCAGCTCCGCCTCCCGGGTTTACGCCATTCTCCTCTGCCTCAGCCTCCTGAAGTAGCTGGGACTACAGGCGCCCCACCTCGCACCG